TCGGAGCTGAGGASGCCGCCCCCTCCCGCCGCTGCCGGAGGAACATTAAAACCCCATTAACCTGGGGTTGTTATTAATCATGCAACATTACCCAGTGGGGACAGCCCTGACGCGMGAGTGGCCGGGCTGTCTCCAGCTCCCCCGGCCCGGCTCCGGGTGACACGGGAGAAGCTGGGATTGCTTTATAACCKCGCCAGCTCCGGGGAATGAATTTCCCGCACGAGGCAGCGCAGGAGAGCTTGGCCGAGATTGGAAATAATCACCCCGAGGCGAGGCAGGGACCGGACCGCAGACGCCTCTCTCACCCCGCGGAGGATAATCCCCTTTGTGACTGGGCTGAGRGCAAGGCGAGGAAACCACGATTTATCATCGGCTTGAACCACATCCATCCTCATGGAAGATGATTTCCAGCGGTGCTGCTGAGCAAACCCAACGGCGGGCAGGCATCCCAGGCCAAAATCAACCGCAGAGCTCAGGAGATGGTGGCTTTGGGGACCTCCTAGGGCACAGAGGGGACACCTCCAGGACAGGTTAATGCCACCAGAGCACAGCCTCTGGGTGTGGAGGCTGCAGCCCCATCAAGCCCTCACTGCTCCGTGATATTAAACTTTCCCCTCATGCATAGAAGCAGGCAGGGGGGCTAATTGCTTCTTATGACACTATAATGGTAGGACTATTTACACTAGATTAAAATCCAATTCATAATGAGGTATAATAACTTTGCAAATGCCAGGATTTGTCAAAGGGTGAGGAGCGCCGCCGAGACGGAGCTGAGCGGGCTCGGGCTCGGGGTCCGAACCTCGGCACGGGAGGAAGGGGCTTCTGGCGGAGCCAGGGCGGGGTTTGGCTGGATTCTCCCTCTTTGGTTGCTTCTTCCACAGGTGAAGCAGGAGGGATTGTGGAAAGGAGCAGGGGGACAAGCATGGCCCTGGGACAGCTTCACAGCCAAGGGCACTGGTCAGAACCAGGGGCTCTGCACAGATCCTGGGGTTGGACAAGGGGTTGGATCATCCCAGAACTCCTGGACTTCACCTCATGAACAGAGCTCCGTCCCCAGGGRAGTCTTGTTCAGGCGCCCATAAACCCCAATCAGCCGATCCCGTTGGAMCCCAACCCGTACCGGGGGTGCAGGATCAGGCGCTGGCATGAAAATCCTCCCTTGCTGGGTGTCACACGCCAGGCCACATCCTCAGAAACGCTCCCTCCCTGCCCAGCGGCACCGTGACCCTTCCCCGTCACACCCAGATCCGTCCCACCACCCCTCCAAGGACAGATCACACCCCCAAATCCGTCCCACCACCCCTCCAAGGACAGATCACACCCCCAAATCCGTCCCACCACCCCTCCAAGGACAGATCACACCCCCAGCCCCGTCCCACCACCTCTCCAAGGACAGATCACACCCCCAGCACTGCCACCTCCCCCGGGTGAGGACTGCCACCCCCGCAGTGAGGGGGGATCTCTGTCCCGCAGAAGAGCCGGGGCTGAGGTCGGATCCGGCTGGGATTTGCTCCCTGCCTCCCCATTCCGTGTTTACGGATGTGACCTTGAAGGAGCCCGGCAACACATCACTCCTGACGCGCTCAAAAGAGGTATTTATTTATTCCCTGCCAATGACATGGACTGATGGTGCCCTCTGAATTTCAAGCAGGGCTCGGCTCTGTTTTGACAGTCTGGGTGGCTCTGCTGGAGAGCAGGCAGAGGAAAGAGCCCAGCGAGCTGTGTTTACAAAGGGATGGTTTCTGCCCAGATCCCAGGGCTCTGTGGATTCCTGCACCCCGTGATGGGCTCAGTGCAGCGCTGGCCCCTTGCACGGGGSTTTGAGCGGGGTAGCTCAGGTGTCCCCTGGTCACAGAGGTGTCTGGTGGATTCCAGCACCAGAGAGAGCTCCAAAGGACTCGCCATCACCCCACTAAGGCTAAGTGGAGGCGGAGGGGTGCTCAGGTGAAYGTGAGCTCCGATGTGCCAACAGTGCCACCAGGCTCTCCGAGCCTTCCCACAGCTTGGTTYGTGTCCAAAACCAGCCATCTGCTGAAAAAACCTGATGGCAAACCCTCCAGCACAGCAGTTCTTCAGCACAGCACGCTGTGGATTTGTCACCCGTCCTGCCGGACACTCAGTACCCCCAGCAAGGGGGGCACGCACACCAAGGACAGGCAGAACTGGAAGGAATATTGATTTCCGAAAGGGTGAGGCCCTCTCTGTATAAACTCTTCCCTGATGGGGCTGCTCCACGCACARGAATGCAGGAGGAGCAAGTTATAAAAACAGCAAAAACCTTAACAARCCCCGTGCTCAGAAGAAAACCAGCTGAGCCTCGAGCGCAGCGAAGACAAACTGAACTGTGCCAAACCCACATTCGCCTGTGCAAAAGGCTGTTCCTGCTCCATGGAGCATTGTCCCGCTGCCCRAGATGAGCCTGTCCCATCTSCAGGGCACAGCGAGCCCCATCCCAYCCTCTCCAGGCAATGTGAGTGSTTTTGGTTGGTGTCTGACCAGGTTCAGGCTGTACAGGAGGAGATGCCGAGGAGCCCAGCAGATGGAATGAGGCTCAGGAACATCTCCGACCCCGCGGCACCTCCACATCACTCCAAGAGCCTCCTTGGCCACAGCCTGAACCAATTATCTTCTGGCAAACGCGATTCCCTTCCATTCACCGGCACTGACAAGAAAACCACAATTTCCCCTGTTCTGCTTCTGTTTGTGAGAGGGAGAGCGAGCAGAGCAGGCGGCGGAGCAGAAAGGGATGGGGAGGATGGCAYCGCATCCCAATTGGAAAGAGCCAGTGGCCAGTGCCCAAGTAAAATTCCAACTTTATGACATAATGGGCTTTTTCTAAGCAGCGCTTGCTGTTAACTTCRGCGCTGGCTTAAACCCCTTGGCCTSAGGCGCCGGCAAAGCAGAGCTCACACACTGTAAATGTTAATACTGCTTTAGCACTGTCATAAGCTAAAAGGTGGATGCAAGATCTGGCACATTAATTCCTTTTTTCATCTTTTTTAGCACATTTCAGGGTAATATGAATAATAAATATTTGAGCTCATGAAGGTTAACGGATGGATAACCCCGGAGACTGGGACTCCCCAGGTAGGAAGGCAGCAGTTCCCTTCCACGTGTCAGCGTCTCCAGCAGCGAGCCAGGGAATTTGCCTCCTCCTGAGAAGTCAGAGCTGCTTCTTGGCAGGGAAATGTTTGACATTAAAACTTGTTGCCCGGCACGCTTGTTCACACTTCMAATGTTTGGGCTGGGGAATGAGGAAGAGGTGGATGTTTCCAAGAATCACCAGGCTATGGAGAGAGGGAAACCTCCTCCATCCCAGCACAAGCTCTGTTTCCATTGAACARGAGCCAGGTTTGGTCAGCAAGAGGCTCTCAAAGGTTCTTTAGCGTTTAATTCTTCCTGCAGCCGGGTCTGGATTCACCTGGCCTGAGGCTTGGTGCAGCTCAGCACGCTCCTGCAGGGTTTGAAACTGCAGCWGAGGGAACGTCCTAAAGGCAGAGCTGCATGGAGCTGACCCAGCTGTCACCACCAGCCCCGAGGCTCCTGGCCTGGCCTGGTTTTGCAGGTTCTGGGTCTAAATTAGAGTTTTGATGTCTGTGTGTCTGTGAGGGTRCAGCCACACCTTAAGGAGAGCAGCTGGGGGAAGAGCTTTGCTGGAACTGGTGTAGCTCTGCACATCATCCCTGGATTATAAAATTATTAATTCCTGGATTATAAAAGCATGGAGAATGGGGCTTTGGGACAAAGTCACACTGCTTTGGCATCAGTCATGTGCCAATGGAGTGCCCCAGCTCATCCCCAGGGAAGCAGCCTAGGAGGGATGAGGAAAATCCTTGAATTCTGAATAAGGACCATGTCAGGAGAGAAAGGGCAGGGCTGGAGACCCAGGGAAGGATTGGAGCGCTGTGCTGGGAGACCAAACACTGAACAGGACAATTGCCATGGCTCATCATTCCTGGAGATCTGGCTGGCTGTAACCCTCGCGGGGAGATGAGGGTTTGGGATGAACACGAGTGTGATCCCCGGGAATGGAGGATGTGGGGCTTGCCCAGATTCCATCTGCTGTCACAGCTTTGTCTCCCTGACCCTCACGGTCCAGACAATGCCTCAGACTGCCAGCCCTGACAGTCTCGCTGGAAAGCCCTGGTATTCCAGCAGAAATCCTGCTGCCACTTCCCTCTTTGGTCCCAGGCGGGTGACACGAGCAGTGTGGGACAGCAGGACAGCCAGGACAGCCAGGACAGCCAGGACACAAACCTTCCCCTGGTTTGGTGCTGGGATGGGTGTCACGATGTGTGAACTGCAGGAGGAAGGTGTTGACTGCGCAAAAATCCCAGTGCAGGGATGAAATCCCCGTCCTTTCCCTGACAGGGATGTCCAGGAGCTGCTGGTGGGGGCAGAGATGCTGCATCCCCCTTTTAGACCCCTGATACTCCCATCCCGACCAGCACTGCGGGAAACTGGGACAGGCRAAGAGCACTGGGCCTGTGCTGCTCGGGGAGGGCAGGGGACACGGGGAGAGCAGGCTGGAGAGGCCCTGCTGCATGGAGAGGGGCACAGAGAGGGCACCGGGGGCCACGGGGTGGCGGCTGCCAACCTCTGTGACCCTCACCGGGGAGCAGCCCCTGGAAAAGCCCGGCTGCGGAGCCCCGGTGGCCCCAAGAATGAGGAGTCCCGGTGTTCCCTGAATGCAGAGTCCCGGTGGCCAGGGGGATGAGGAGTGCCAGTGGTCCGGGAATGGGGACCCCCGGTTTTCCATGAATGTGGATCCCCGGTGTTCAGTGAATGCAAAGCCCCAGTAATCGGGGGGTGAGGAGCCCCGGTGTTCCGGGAATGAGGAGCCCCGGTGTTCGGGGGATGCMGAGCCCTAGTGGCTCGGGAATGTGGAGCCCTGATGGCCAGGGAATGAGGAGTCCTGGTGGCCAGGGAATGGGGAGCCCAGGTGGCCCGGGGATGAGAAGCCCCGGTGTTCGGGGAATGTGAGCCCCGGTGTTCAGGGGATGCGGAGCTGGGGCGGTGAGATCGCCGCCCGCCCCTCCGCCGTGCCCAACGCTGGGCGCGCTCGCCAGCCACGGCTGCGCATCCGCATCCCGCGCCTGGAGCCCCGAGCCGGGGAGGGGGAGCCGCCGCCGCCCTTCGGGGGTGCCGTGCCCCAGTGCCATGCCCGGTGCAGTGCCCTGTGCAGTACCCGGTGCTGTGTCCCGGTGCCGTGCCCGGTGCAGTGCCTGGTGCCGTACCCCAGTGCCATTCCGGGTGCCATGCCCCAGTGCCGTGCCCGGTGCTGTGCTCGGGTGCCGTGCCCGGGTGGTGCCGTGCCCGGTACAGTGCCCGGTGCAGTGCCGGTGCCGTACCCCGCCCGCCGTGCGCCCCCCGCCCCGCAGCCCCCCCGCTCTCCCCTCGTTGCGCTCGCTGTTGCGTGACCGCCGAGCCCCCCTCCCCTGGCGATCCTTGGGGGATATCAAGGGCAAGGAAGAGAAGGGTTACCTGGAGGAAAGGGTTGCTAAGCAACCCCTCCCCACGACCCCCCCCCAAAGCACCGCAAACCCAAAACTCGTTCCAGGCCTGCAACCAGATTAGCATATTAATGAGGCTGTAATTTCCCCGGAATTGTCTGCACGTCTATGCCCGCTCACAGCACACTGGCCCAGGAGTTTGCTATGCAAATAAACTGGTTTTACAGGCTGTGGCTTAATTAACTCATCAAGTTCATCTTCCTAACAAAAAAGGCAGACTAACTGCGGATTAATGGACCTGTGTTTGCTCTTCTTTCTCTCCCCCTCTCCCCCTCTCCCTCCCGGAGGCACTGCCTCCCTGCAGACCCTTCCATCCCCGGCCACTGCAGCCTCGGTGCTGGGGAGATCCTCCAGCCGCACAAGGAGATAAATCCTGGGAAAAGAGTTGGGGGGAGGAAAGGAATCTTAATACCGCTTCCAGCAGAGTCGGGGAGGTTTCCTCATCGACTTCAAGGGGAATAAGATGGATCAGRCCTCGAGGATGGTAATTACGCCTTCAGTCGAAGCTGGCAGGTGACCACTTATGAGAAGGAGGTGGCACATGGCGACTCTGTCTCTTTAAAATGGTTGTCTCTGCRCGGATCAGGGGTCGGGGATTTTGGGGAGGCGGATTAAGGTGCCGTTTCTAGGGGAGCTCCGGCAATCGTGCTCCTTCCCTCGCCGTGTAGGGTCAGAGCAGGCGAGAGGGATGCTCTCCCTCCTGGGTTAATTAGAAAGGCCCTTCCTGCCTGCATCCCACGCTCAGGGACAAGATGACTTTTGAAAGCGACCCCCAAAAAGGTAAGTATAAGGATTTGCAGAGTCACTGAGGGAAAGTTCACATGGCCAAAAGTCTGTATTCAACAGCAAATCCCTGGGCTGGGGAGCTTCCTTGGAACATCGACATCATTACGAGTTCACTGCCTCTTCCCTACCTTTCTGTCACCCATTTCTTTCCCTGGGAGGGAGGAAGCAGTTTCCTGTGGGTGCTGGATGAGGCACAGATGTTCCCCCACCGGTCCCACCTAGGCTGGATCAGGAGGAGCTGGATGGGAGCGCTCAGCCCCCAGGSTGTGCGGGAAGTGACTCCGCTCAGAGATGAAATGTCTGAGTGGATCTTTTCCCTTTTAATTCCAGCTGCATTGTTGGTTCATCGTAGTTTGACCTCCAGGGAGGTTTTCAGGTGGCCTGGGATGCTGATTCAGAGCTGGGGTGGGAATGGTTGCTTTGCCATGCACASAGCCCTGAGGAGCTCTGAGCCCAGGCTCCCGAAAAGGCAATGGAAACTGAGGAGCAGCTCGATATCTGCAGGGAGGGGGTCTGGGCATGGATCAGGCTCTCCTTGGCAGTGMCAAGCAATGGGACAGGAGGAACAGGCAGGGATTGATGCCCAGGAGGTTCATCTGGACATGAGGAAGAGCTGCTGTGCTGTGAGCGAGCACCAAACAGGCTGCCTGGAACGGGTGTGGAGTCTCCTCCCTGGGGATATTCCAGACCCCTCTGGACACAGCCCTGYCCATGTGCTCTGGGATGGCCCTGCTGGAGCAGAGAGCCTGGGCCAGGTGACCCACGGTGGTTCCTCCCAGCCTGACCCATCCTGTGACTCCCCCCACGGCCATCCACCTTGGGCCCTGGGCTTCCCACCCGTGGTGGCCACAGCAGATCTCTGCCCATCACCCCACAGCCACACTGCCACCGCCCCTCCCTCGCTCTCAAGCTGCTGGAATCACCCCATGCAATCCCCCAGGGCTCTGTGGGGTGGGAAGGGGCTGCCATAAACCTTCCAGCTGCTCCACAGGCTCAGCTCTGCAACTTCTCCTCAGAAAAGCTCTGCAGAGCTCACACCTCCCTTGAAAGTTTAGGAGCATTCAGGTCCCACTCTCCTGAAGATCATGCCTCTTCCAGCTACAGCTGCTTTGGAATGGATTAAAGGTGAAGCTTTCATCCAAAAGTTGKTTTAGACTGGACAAAGCCCTTGAAAAAATCTAACTGTACTCAGAAGCTTCTCAGCATTCACAGGAAAATGGGTTGGCTGACCTAAAAGGGYTTTTGCATCTCTAATTTCTGCAGTTGCATGATTCATCCCTCTTCTTTGAAAGTGTTTCTCACATGAAACATCTCATAGCAGGAAAAAAAAATTATATTAAATAACCTTTTTTCATTTTCTCTCCTCATTGTCAGGGGAGGTGAGGGATGTGGCTGCTCCGACATGAACTGAGCAGTGGAAGAGAAAAGGCAAACCAGGACTCAGCCCAGCAGCCAAGAAGGAAGCTGCTCATGCCAGGTGGAGTAGGAGGAGTTATTCCAGAGATGTTCTTTCCAGGAGCACAGCCGCTCCTCAATTTCTCAGATCGGGAGAAAACAGCGAGCTGGAGAGCAGCAAACACCTCCCGAGGACAGAGGAGCAGCCACACCCCGGCCGAGGAGAGGACATCCCCCAGGAAATAAAACAACAGTTCCTGGGGATGCTCTTGGGAATTCTTGACATCCTCCAGGAATTTCTCTCCTAAGAGCTTTCCCAGTTCCCTCTCCATCCATCCAGCTCCTGCAGTAGGAGCTCCAGAGATAACTCCTTTGAGTTTGTCTTAAATCTCACTTCTCCCACCTTCACCTGAAGGCATGGAAGGGGGTTTGGTTTCATGTTGGTCTGTTTGGAAATGCTGCCAAAGACATCCCATAACCTCAGGATGAAAGCAAGAAACTCCTGAGGCCAGGCAAGCCATTGCTCTGGGAATGCACAAGGGCATCTGCCCATCCTGGAAGGGCCCTGCATGGGGAGGGAACCGGGATTTACCCCAAATGAGGACACCGGAGCCACCTCAGCCCCCATCCCAGCCCTGAGGCACTCCCCCGATCCTGTATTCAGCTGTCCCACCCCTGAATCCCTCACCTCTCTGGATTTCTGACTCCCCAGTGCTGAGGTTGTCTCTTCTCAGTGGCTTTCAGGTGACTTTGGCTCACAGCATTGCATCCACTCCAGACTTGTCACGAACATTACCAAATTATTCCCATTTTCGTGCTGATAACGCCTTTCAAACCAACCCATGAACTAATCCTTCCTGCTACATAAGAGCAGCTCAAGATTTCTCATGAAGATCACCAAATTATTCCCATTTTCCTGCTGGATAACCTTTCAAACCAACTCATGAGCCAATCCTTCCTTTCCCACAAGTTCAGCAGCAAACACAGGCTGATATTCCTGGAAATCCTCCACTTTCCAGGTTTCTGCTTTAAAATTTGAGCTGAAGTTGGACACAGGTTCMCATCAGGTGATTTCAAGACAGGCTGGGGAGCCAGAAAGTTTTGGGGCTGGCACCTCACCTGAAGCCACTAATCAGGATGGGAAGGCAACAAGGGATGAGCTGCTGTCCCCAAAAAAGAGGGGAAGAGGGGGGAACCAAAGGGACGAGCCCCTGCAGGAAGGGAAACTCAGCATCTGATCGTGGCTCAGTTCTCAGTGAGGTTTTGCCAGGGATTTGGGGATCAGGGGTGGTTTGAATGATAATCACCCATCTTCAGCTGTCACCCAGGAGGTGTTTGTTTGAAGAATCGTTGTGACCATAATACAGGACTTTCAGCTCTTTTTATTTCGTTGATTTAGTGGATTTTCATTCCCTCTTTTCTTTCATTTTCTGGAAGCGCTGTAAACCCAAAGCCCTACAGCGTCCCCCCTCTCTGTGAAAAGCGTTTAAACAGATTTAATTTTTTTTTAAACAAAGACTGAAGTGCTTACAGTCAGGGAATCACCCAAAATCTGAACCCTTGCCAGATACCATTTCCACTCATAAGAAGTACCAATCCTTTTTCCAGATGACATTCCAGGACATTGATTTTTTTTTTTCTTTTCTCCAACATTGCTGCCACTTAAACAAAAGGGGGAAAACTGATTTTTTTTATTTTTTTTAATACAGAAGAGGGAATCCAAGAGGTGGAAAGCTCACCCACACCAAGCCAAGCTTTGAAATGAAAATCTGCCCTTTCAGGATTAACGAGGAGAGCGATAAAACAAGGGAACAAATTTACAGAGGGAAGAATCAGCTCTCTCCTCACGAGCAGCCTGAGCCGCAGGGGAGGCTGCTGCCTGCCCACAAGTCGCGGGGCAGGACGCAGAAATCACCCCCAGCTCGCTCTCCGTGGGAGGTCAGGCTCCACGCTCGTCGCGGTCCCTTCTGGCCCGAAAATCTATGAATCTATTGATGCTCTGAGGCTTCAAAAGCAGCAGCTGCTCCTACGCAGCACCTAGTTCTCATAAGCGTTTGGAATAATGGATCCATATTGTGCCAATGCATACTAATGTTCATATACATTGGCGGCGCACAATGTGACGGCTTTGGAGACACCCAGGTGTCAGATGGAATCAGTGTCACCGCCACACCGTACCAGGACTCCGACGCACGTCCCTGTTGGCTTCTCCAGCGGGAAGCTTTGATTGTGTTTATGCCTTATGCTTCTGGAGAGGGGGAAAATGGATTTATAAAGGAATTGTAGCAGCGGGCCCACCGCAGGGCTGGTGCCGGCGGTTTGCAGCCAAAGACTGGTTTGCACTTGGTGAGGGATGGGGATGGGAGGGAAAACAAAGACAGGAGTGCCCAAGGAGYTCAGGGGTGCAGCCTCCTGCTCTCCCCGTTCATGTCCTCTCAGGCACCAACACAAAGAATTTCGGGCCAGGGGCTGC